CTTTGAGGCCGTTCATGATCCTGCCTGGCTCTATCGAACTGCAAGAGCCGCCAGCGCCAGTGACTCGGTCACTGCCTGCTTGCCTGGGCAACTCCACATTGCAGCTGTGTCGCTGTGCATGCGCCAATTTTGCATGTGTTGGGGTACAGCTGTGTCCCGTAGCTGCTTAGCATGACTGCGGGCGCTTCGTAGGGAACTTGGATTGTAGGCATCGTGCTTTAGAAGAATGTTACCGTACAACAAGTCAAGGGCCTCCAAAGTGTGCCATGCCTTAGAGTCCAAGAGCTCATGCTGAAGTATGCTGCTGAGGCTTCCCACCAATAGTTTTCGGCTGATATTCGGGGACCGCTCGCTGCATGGGAGTTCAGCTGACGTGGTTGATGCAGCCAGGGTGTTATCTATGACTCTACGTGCTGGGAGAGTTTCAGGGCCCGTGCATGCAGTCCTGAGAATTGCGGATTCTTGCTGGAGGATGCCAGAGTTGGGGGCCCCGTATGTGCCCCACAACGATGAGTTGCAACAGCCTAGGGCCTACCTTCACCTGACTTCTGTTTTTCGGGGAAGGCGATTTCGATAGATCAGAGTTCAATTTCAGTGAAAAAGAATGATTCGCGTGCAGTACCTGTTTGAGCTCCGAATGCACACATCTAGAACCTCGAATGTTGGTCGAACCATCCATAATCCCTCTAAACCCTTTGGAGGTCCCTCAAAGGCCATCCAGAGCCTCTCCAGGAGAACGTGAAGCTTTCAATGCCCGGCCAACATGCCCGCTTCATCGAACTTCGTGCAGCCGGCAGACTTATCAGGGTAGTTCCCAAAATTAGGATCCCCTTTTGGTACCCCTACTGTAAAGATTAGGTGCCGTCACAGAATCTATGACCAAAAGGGTCCCATAATTTTGAGAACAACCCATCAACTTGTTTTCAGATCCTTGCTGTTAGCGTCAAACGATCCATTTTGGGACTGGCTTTGCTGTCATTCTGGGTAGTTTGAATCTACGAAAACGACAGTGGTATTGACTGACAGAAGTCGCCGAAAGGGGGAATCTCATGGTCGCGGTAAGCTTGGTGCGTTCGGTTTGGTCATGCTGTACCCCAAGAATGGGTATATATTGGGGTTATGGAAAAATGGAAAGTAAAATGGAAACTGTGGGTATACCTGGTCATCCAATGTTTTTTGGTCCAACTCTTCTGGTCAGTGTTTCCTTGGCGTCGCAATCTCGATTCCTGCAGTTCATGGCGTTTTGCTGTTGATGTATAGTGCTAGGCTACATGATTAACTTATCAGCTTTGACATGCTTCACATGCATGGCTCCAGCTGGCAACTACTCGGACGTGCAGAACGATACCGAGTACATGGAAGGCATCTGGGTGGGATGGTAAAGCCTCGCCAGGGTGGAACTTGTGTCGGACCTGTGTAGAGATCATGATTACACTGACACGGGCAAGGCTACATCTTCCCAGGAATAGGGATTACATGAGGAGTATATTCCCTTATTCCCTACTAACCCCATATATGATCCTACTGTAATATGATAGTTTCCGTTGTCTTTTTGATTGTTCCTGTATAACTCATATATATACCCTCCTATATAAATTTAGTCCCTATATGACCCCAATATCTACCCCATTACAGTATAGTAGCTGTTGGTTTCCATTATCCCTATATAACCCATATAATATAACCCCAACATAAACAGCTTGAACTTGAATTATCGTATATCCTAGCATATTCTCGTATAGTATATTACGAAAGCTTCCTCTAGCTGTCGTCAAGGTCCAGCTTTGCTGATCTGTACTAAGGGGGTGTGGGGGTTAGGAAAGCCCAAAAGTGGTCAAATTTGGCCGTGCTTCGAGGGCCAGACCCCGCGGCAGGAGGGTTTTGGGGAGGTGTCCTTTCGGGCCTCGAAAACAGGGGTCACGAGGGGTCTGTTTATGCGCGGTTTTGGGGTGCCGTTTCGGGGGCCGTGGAAGCCGTTTGGGACACCAGGGAACCCGTGTTCTTTTTTTTGCTGTTTGGT